GTTGTAATGCTTGTAAACTGTTTAATATATGTAACCAAAGCCGTCAAAGATTGAGGAAAGATGTACACGTTCGTAAGTACTTGCGTAACTGCTTCGTGAATCTGGCCCCTGGTCTTTCCATCATCCCTGGTCTTGTTATGTTTATGAATTGACAAACGGTTTACACACGACCCACAACTGATTTCGTTCGAACACTTCCGGAACAAGTGCTTCACTTGATGGTAGTGGAGGAGTGTGTGTGTGTGTGGTGGTGGTGGAGGAGTGTGTGTGTGTGTGGTGGTAGTGGAGGAGTGTGTGTGTGTGTGGTGGTAGTGGAGGAGTGTGTGTGTGGTGGTAGTGGAGGAGTGTGTGTGTGTGTGTGGTGGTAGTGGAGGAGTGTGTGTGTGTGTGGTGGTAGTGGAGGAGTGTGTGTGTGTGTGGTGGTAGTGGAGGAGTGTGTGTGTGTGTGTGGTGGTAGTGGAGGAGTGTGTGTGTGGTGGTAGTGGAGGAGTGTGTGTGTGTGTGGTGGTAGTGGAGGAGTGTGTGTGTGTGTGTGGTAGTGGAGGTAGTGTGTGTGTGTGTGGTAGTGGAGGTACTGTGTGTGTGTGTGGTGGTAGTGGAGGTAGTGTGTGTGTGTGTGGTAGTGGAGGTACTGTGTGTGTGTGTGGTAGTGGAGGTACTGTGTGTGTGTGTGGTGGTAGTGGAGGTACTGTGTGTGTGCGTGTGGTAGTGGAGGAGTGTGTGTGTGTGTGGTGGTAGTGGAGGAGTGTGTGTGTGTGTGGTGGTAGTGGAGGAGTGTGTGTGTGTGTGTGTGGTAGTGGAGGAGTGTGTGTGTGTGTGGTAGTGGAGGAGTGTGTGTGTGTGTGTGGTAGTGGAGGAGTGTGTGTGTGTGTGTGGTAGTGGAGGTACTGTGTGTGTGTGTGGTGGTAGTGGAGGAGTGGTGTGTGTGTGTGTGTGGTGGTAGTGGAGGAGTGTGTGTGTGTGTGGTGGTAGTGGAGGAGTGTGTGTGTGTGTGGTGGTAGTGGAGAGTGTGTGTGTGTGTGGTGGTAGTGGAGTGTGTGTGTGTGTGGTGGAGTGTGTGTGTGTGTGTGTGGTGGTAGTGGAGGAGTGTGTGTGTGTGTGGTGGTGTGTGTGTGGTGGTAGTGGAGGAGTGTGTGTGTGTGTGGTGGTAGTGGAGGAGTGTGTGTGTGTGTGGTGGTAGTGGAGGAGTGTGTGTGTGTGTGTGTGGAGGGTAGTGGAGGAGTGTGTGGTGTGTAGTGGTAGTGGAGTGTGTGTGTGTGTGTGGTAGTGGAGGAGTGTGTGTGTGTGTGGTGGTAGTGGAGGAGTGTGTGTGTGTGTGGTGGTAGTGGAGGAGTGTGTGTGTGTGTGTGTGTGTGTGGTAGTGGAGGTACTGTGTGTGTGTGTGTGGTGGTAGTGGAGGAGTGTGTGTGTGTGTGGTGGTAGTGGAGGAGGAGTGTGTGTGTGTGGTGGTAGTGGAGGAGTGTGTGTGTGTGTGTGGGTGGTAGTGGTGGTAGTGGAGGAGTGTGTGTGTGTGTGGTGGTAGTGGAGGAGTGTGTGTGTGTGGTGGTAGTGGAGGAGTGTGTGTGTGGTGGTAGTGGAGGAGTGTGTGTGTGTGGTGGTAGTGGAGGAGTGTGTGTGTGTGTGGTGGTAGTGGAGGAGGTGTGTGTGTGTGTGGTGGTAGTGGAGGAGTGTGTGTGTGTGTGGTGGTAGTGGAGGAGTGTGTGTGTGTGGTGGTAGAGGAGTGTGTGTGTGTGTGGTGGAGTGGAGGAGTGTGTGTGGTGGTGGTAGTGGAGTGTGTGTGGTTGTGGTGGAGTGTGTGTGTGTGTGGTGGTAGTGGAGGAGTGTGTGTGTGTGGTGGTAGTGGAGGAGTGTGTGTGTGGTGGTAGTGGAGGAGTGGGGGTGTGTGTGTGTGGTGGTAGTGGAGGAGTGTGTGTGTGGTGGTAGTGGAGGAGTGTGTGTGTGGTGGTAGTGGAGGAGTGTGTGTGTGTGTGGTGGTAGTGGAGGAGTGTGTGTGTGTGTGGTGGTAGTGGAGGAGTGTGTGTGTGTGTGGTGGTAGTGGAGGAGTGTGTGTGTGTGGTGGTAGTGGAGGAGTGTGTGTGTGTGTGGAGTGTGTGTGTGTGTGGTAGTGGAGGAGTGTGTGTGTGTGTGGTGGTAGTGGAGGAGTGTGTGTGTGTGGTAGTAGTGGTAGTGGAGGAGTGTGTGGTGTGTGTGGTGGTAGGTGGTGGTGGTGGTGGTGGCGGGGTGGGCTGCTCCACAGGTCGCCTGCCTCACCCTCACATCACTACGTGAGCGGAGAACAAACGCCCTCCCTCACCACGCTCCTGCACACCCAGTTGTTTATACCTTCCCTGACCCCGATCTTCACTAATATATTCACAACTCTTAATTGTGAATTTGTATACATTGTGGTGCAGCGTAACGAGCAGTCCGGGGACTGCCGAATGACCGCACATGACAGCTTTATGGAATTGTTAGCAGAGCGGCGGGTGTAGGAGGGGGTGGAGGGCGGGGGACCTACTGTGGGGTTAACCCCCTTGTACCTCCTCCAAGTTGGGATTGTTCAGTCTAGATTGCTCTCGTTACCACCGCAATAATAAATCGCCATTATTTAATCAGCCACGCCATTGTGAAAACACCACTTTTTTACTGGCATCAACACATGTGGCAAGGATTTTTGTGATAGCTTTATCAACAAAGCTGTTGGAGCCAGCGTCCTGCAAGCCCTCACATGGCCATCACAGTGTGGTTATCTTGCTGCTGGAATCTTAACTCCTCCTGGAGAACTTCACCCCTTTTGTTCCGGCAATATTTCTTATGTTTGCTGGGTGGTTAACGAGCCCCGAGTCTCTGATGTTCACTGTGTTCTCCATGCCTATCACGCCTTGATACACCTGCCCGGGTCCCTAGGGAGCAGTAACGGCAACACTGTTCTCCTACAGCAGCAGTGACGGCAACACTGTTCTCCTACAGCAGCAGTAACGGCAACACTGTTCTCCTACAGCAGCAGTAACGGCAGCACTGTTCACCTACAGCAGCAGTAATGGCAACACTGTTCTCCTACAGCAGCAGTGACGCAACACTGTTCTCCTACGGCAGCAGTAACGGCATTGCTGTTCTCCTACGGCAGCAGTAACGGCATTAATGTTCTCCTACGGCAGCAGTAACGGCAACACTGTTCTCCTACAGCAGCAGTAACGGCAACACTGTTCTCCTACAGCAGCAGTAACGGCAACACTGTTCTCCTACAGCAGCAGTAACGGCAACACTGTTCTCCTACAGCAGCAGTAACGGCAACACTGTTCTCCTACAGCAGCAGTAACGGCAACACTGTTCTCCTACAGCAACAGTAACGGCAACACTGTTCTCCTACAGCAACAGTAACGGCAACACTGTTCTCCTACAGCAGCATTAACGGCAACACTGTTCTCCTACAGCAGCAGTAACGGCAACACTGTTCTACAGCAGCAGTAACGGCAACACTGTTCTCCTACAGCAGCAGTAACGGCAACACTGTTCTCCTACAGCAGCAGTAACGGCAACACTGTTCTCCTACAGCAGCAGTAACGGCAACACTGTTCTCCTACAGCATCAGTAACGGCAACACTGTTCTCCTACAGCAGCATTAACGGCAACACTGTTCTCCTACAGCAGCATTAACGGCAACACTGTTCTACAGCAGCATTAACGGCAACACTGTTCTCCTACAGCAGCAGTAACGGCAACACTGTTCTCCTACAGCAGCAGTAACGGCAACACTGTTCTCCTACAGCAGCAGTAACGGCAACACTGTTCTCCTACAGCAGCAGTAACGGCAACACTGTTCTCCTACAGCAGCCGTGCAAAAATATAGAATTGGAAGAAAGCAATATTCATTTTTACAGGAACAACATATTCTACCTAAATTAACTTCACAAACTGAAGGGAGTATACTATTTACCATCGATTTATAATTATTTTTAGACGGCACAAAAATGAGGTCAAATTAACGTGGTGCTTGAGGTGTATGAGGATAGAGGGGGTCAAAAGTCCTACTGTCCCGCCTGAAGCAGGACGTCTTGTCACCCCTAGCCTTTCCATCATCCCTGGGGCCAGATTCACGAAGCAGTTACGCAAGCACTTACGAACCTGAACATCTTTTCACAAACTTTGGCGGCTCTGTTTACAATTATTAAACAGTTAATGAGCTCCGAAGCACCAGGAGGCTGTTTATAAAAATAACAACAGTTGATTCTGAAGTTGTAATGCTTGTAAACTGTTTAATATATGTAACCAAAGCCGTCAAAGATTGAGGAAAGATGTACACGTTCGTAAGTACTTGCGTAACTGCTTCGTGAATCTGGCCCCTGGTCTTTCCATCATCCCTGGTCTTGTTATGTTTATGAATGAAAAACGGTTTACACACGACCCACAACTGATTTCGTTCGAACACTTCCGGAACAAGTGCTTCACTGACGAATTTATTTCGAACCACAACGCTGTAAATGCTTCACCCACGTACTACAAATAATCGCCAACAGAACCTAAACACCTAACCTAACCTATGCCTATATATGCACAATATGCTAATATATTATAATAATTTATATTTGAGAAAATTCCTGTTTTGAATGAACAGCATGTCACATGAATGCGTCTGTGGGGTCGACCGCTGGATGTAATGGACTTGAATGGAGGACGGGTTGTGTAAACATATAGGCTGATTATGCTCAAGGATAAACTAGCAGGGTAAGGCTTAAGGTGACCTGTGGGAAAGGAAAGGGAGAGGTCTTATCCTACTAACATGTCGTTATCATCTGCTTATGGGTTAAAACATAAATAATTATTTTTTGAATGTTGGGTTGTTAATTTGCGCAGAAAAAGTTGCAGCATTTGACGAGTGTCGTGTATTGATAACCGTGATTAACCCATATATATATATATATATATATATATATATATATATATATATATATATATATATATATATATATATATATATATATAATATAATATAATATTGATGTTTGTGGTATGTGTTGCAGCCGGCGACCATCCCCCAGGCCGTGGTGGACATGAACCGGGTGCTGGAGGTGTCGCAGGCGGAGGACGTCACGGGGAATCAGTTCAGTCTGGCCATCACCGCCCCTGACAGGGTCACCTTCGTTAAAGGCACCTGCAGGGAGGAGTCCCGCTGGTGGATGGACGTCCTCTCTGTCTTCCCTCGCACCCATAAGGTGAGCGCCACACTCCCGCACGCTCTCTCTCTCTCAAGCACTAAATCTATTACAAAATACTCGCACACATGTAATTAACTTGGTTTACAAAACTTCAAGTACATAATTCATCTGTACAAGAATACAGCTCGTCACTGTTGTTGAGTGGAAGCTGACAGCCATCTCTAGTAGGTCCCTCTAGCATCTCCATGAAAATATTGCTTTCTCTTATCTAAAGTCCTTACAATATTGTATTAGATAAGTAATTATATTCGTTGTTTATTACATAGTTGAATACAGTACAAAATTATAATAAGCTACAGTAATATACTTCAATTAATGAGAAATGTTTCTATTTAGCAACAAGGTCGACACAAACGAAATGCAACCTTCCCAGGAATCAAGTCGACAACAGTACTGAAGCAGAGTATGGTGCACCAGTCTCCATCAACTACACTTGGTACGTCACTCACATGCTGCCTCGTGCTGTAACATTCATGTTAGGTCTGTGGCAGCTTGCTGTGTAATGCCACCGTCTGTGGAGTGAGTAGTCTGTGGCCACCAGCCACAGATCCTGCCATGATCTGTGTCCCCTGCGTGTCATCTTATGGCTTGCTCTCATACTCTTGTTGAAGCACTTTTCTCATGCTACAGTATAATCTTCTTATGGGAGACGATTGATTTTTCTTGCTTAGTTTCATTCTCTTTATCCAGTAGAAAAATACCTTAAAACTGTCCGTGAATTTGTACATTGATTTGCTTGAAGGTTTGCTATTCATGAGCTTAGTTTATATTTATTTATATATTTTTGTATTCTAATACAGTATATTTATTGCTAGCGTTGAAAATTATTACGCCAGTTACATTTACGAAATAAAACTTTTTAACTGAAAATGTGTGTAGAATAATGTCAAAACTGCATATTTTGGTTGATTTGCTTGACATTCCCGTTACCTCCACCTTGCCTACCCAGCACCCACCACTTTCGAGACTCCGATTGGGCAGCGGGTGCGATTTCACAGTTGTACCACCGACCCTCTGGGTGGGCGGCCTCCTTCAGCCCCTGCCATGGACATAGATGAAGATGTTTTCCCTACCAAGGATTCCTCAGCCCCTAATACATCCAGTCCTCCATCCGGACAGACCCATACTCCCCTTTACCACTCTACTCCTCTCTCCTCTCTTCCTCCGTCAACCAGAATGCTGAGAGATGAGCACAAAGAAAATACTCCACCATTTACAGAAGGTAGGGTGGAGGCTGCACGGTCATGTCTTCTGGCCTTTATATTTTAACGCTTTATGGTAATTGCTTAGTTTTGCTTGCCTGTCCAGTTCAATGTGAATTACATAATGCTACAGCAAACGTTTTCTCTGAATGTGTTATTAAAGGTATATTTCATGTAACTGCCAGAAGTCCAGGATTATGTTAATTACTGTTACTACCTAATTGGTTTTAAGAAACAACGTTTTTGCTATTCCAGATTATACAGATAACCCACCCACTTCAGAGTCACCACCCACTCAGGATAAGTTGAGTCACAAATTCCGGACTCGCCGTGCAATCAAACGTGAAGCCCGTGGCCTCACACAGCCTAGGAGTAAGTCGGAGATGTCAGCCTTATTTCCGACTAACTCTCCATCTTCCATGCCTGCTCTGAATCGTGGATCCTCCTCTACTACTGGAAGCACCACCACTTCCCCATACTCTTCAGGGGGTACCACCACTACCCTATATTCAGGGGGTAACACCACTTCTCCAAACTCATCAGGCGGCACCACCACTTCCTCTTACACTACTACTAAAAGCACTGCTACTTCCTCCTGTTCCTCTACTAATTGCACCACCACCTCTTCGTACTCCACTCCTGAGGGTTCTCGTTCCATGCTTTCCCCTACTCCACCTTCAGCTGTTGACCCTCTAATCTCCCTGGAAGGCCGGGGTATACGCCGTGCAACCACACCTGTAAACTCTTCTCCTTCCTCAGTCTCATCCTTAAATTCTTCTATGTCTAACTCTACTATTGGTGTGAACTCCCTATCCACCTCCGTTGGTGGTTTTGGGAGTGGTGGCGGTGAAGGTGGAGGAGGGCCATCGTCACTTCGGAGCCTGGATTCAGGCGTGCATGTCCCCACTAGACCCCAGGCCCGCACGGCGCCGGACAAACCAGGTGTGTGTGCAACTAACAATCACAACTTCCTCATGCTGTCAAAGATAAGAAAGATAGAAAAGCTGCATTAATGATTAACTATCTTTCATGAGAATGGACATCAGAGTTGTAGAATCAGTGGTTTGCTCTTAATTTATAATAGTAAAGTAGTATTTAAACTT